TATATATATATATATATATATATATATATATATATTAATAATATTTTAAAAATAATTTAAATTATTAATAGTTTTGCCTTTAAATGTATTTATATTTTTTGTTTACATATAACTAAGTTAATTTTTCATTTTTGCTTTCAAATTTATTTAAAAGTATGTATTATTTGAAATAAACTGTTAAAATTTATTTAAATGTTTAACTTACATTTAAAATTTTTTATTTTGTTAATAACTAAATTTAAATTGTTATTTTTATTTCTAAAACAGAGACAGTAAGAGCTATATTATACTTGAATTAAATAATGTCATGAATATTTTAATAGTAATAATTTAGATTAAAATGCCAGTGTTAAGCGTTTCTGTAACACATTCTACCTGAGAATTAATGGCTGTTGTGTAACATTTTCTGCTCATTAATCTAAGAAAGCAACATCTAGAACACGTTATACACTGTTTACCAGTCAGGACTTCACTTTTACCGTGTTCAGTGCATGTTAGTGTGAGCATCTGTCATTTGAGCCTTGTTTGTTGTTGTAATGTGCCAGCTTAACCAGTCTCCACTCCTGTGTAATCAGACATGCCCAGACACAATATGGAAACGCAGAAGAGTCAATGGGACCCGGTCCGGAGATCGCCGTGGATCGTGAGAGTGGAGCAGAGCCCCGCCTCCTCGGGGGCGGAGTCAGACACCGAGGGCAGCAGCACAGAGAGCGAACAGGTAAATACACGCTTTCCTCTCATAACCAGTGCTGTGGATCAGCTGCACTCATCTCTCCTTCTGTGCTTAACCAGCATCGGGTCAAACAGGGAGGCGGAGTCTCGCTGACATCACCGTCAATGCTGCAGCAGCGAATCACGGAGCTCGACCAGCAGAGGGAGGAGCTAAAGATTGAGGTGAGTTTCCTTAAGGAAAAATATGACGCTGCCGACATCATTAAACACTAACTGTGACTATATTAACATGCAATATTGTTGACGAAAACAGACGAGACTAAAATGTAGTTTATTAGCAAAAAATTATCTATATCCACAATTTCTTTAGATTTTCTTTAATAAAAAAGAAGAGAAAAACTCTAGACCGCTGCGATTATTTATGCTTGGGTTGCCAGATGTGGCAGATTTAAATCCCCTAATCAGAGTTTCTCTCTTAAAACAACACGTTTTTTTGCCCAAAAAATTATCTACACTACCAGTCAAACGTTTTTGAACAGTAGGATTTTTAATGTTGAAAGAATTCTCTGCTCACCAAGCCTGCATTTATTTGATCCAAAATACAGCAAAAACAGTAATACTGTGAAATATTTTTACTATTTAAAATAACTATTTTTTTATTTGAAAATCTGTTAAACTGTAATTTATTTCTGTGATGCGCAGAAATTTGTATGCAAAGCTTTTGTAACATTTTACACTATACTATACTTGGAGTCAGTATAATTGTTTTTTTTTGGGGGGGAGGACAAATTATAGAAATTAATACTTTTATTTAGCAAGGATGCTTTAAATTGATCAAAAGTGACAGTAAAGACATTTATAATGTTACAAAGGATTTCTGTTTAAGATAAATGCTGTTCTTCTTAACTTTCTATTTATCAAACAAACCTGAAAAAATCAGAATATTGGAATAATTTCTGAAGTATCATGTGATTGCAGTAATGATGCTAAAAATTTACAGCTTTGAAATCACAGGAATAAATTATATTTTAAAATATATTCAAATAGAAAGTAGTTATTTTAAATAGTAAAAATATTTTTAAATTGTACTGCTTTTGCTGTGCTTTGGATCAAATAAATGCAGGCTTGGTGAGCAGAAGAGACTTCTTTAAAAAACATTACAACAAGGAGAAAAATCCTAGACATCTGTCAGTGTTCATGCTTGGGTTGCCAGATGTGTTTAAATCCTCCAAACAGAGTTTCTCTCTTAAAAGGACACATCTTTGCCCTGTGTTTAATTTATCTTCACAATCTGGCAGCCATTAGCACTCACGTTGCAGAAAAAACACTGATGATCTGAAAACATCGGCATGTTTTTTCTTTTGTTAAATGAAAAGGTAATTGAGCTGTGTGTGTTTACTGGTGTGCAACTGTATAAACAACATGCATTTTGTATTATCCCTCTTGTTTTGGTAAAATAATTAACATTTTGCCGATTCTGCAAGGTGTATGTAAGCTTTATGCAACTGTATGATGGAATGTAAAGAAGTGTTTTTTGGTGCAGCTGCAGCTGGAGGTGGCGCTGCTGCGAGGGGAGCTGCAGGCTGAACAGGAGCGTCTGCGCAGACACACAGAGCAGCTGCAGGAGAAGCACAGGCAGCGCAAGAGCCAGCGCTTGGCCAGCAGACAGAAGGTCTGCCTCTGATCTGTTCACCCTTATGATGCATGATTACTGTAGGGATGCACAATATTATCGAACCGATATCAGAATTGGCTGATAATGGCTTTCAAGGCTCAATATGTAATTTATTGCCGCTAGCGGGCGCGTATTCAAAACAAACAAAGAGACAAAGGCGTAGTTTGATGATGCAGTGACTGAGTGTGGACTCATGGCCACAGCCGACGCAATCCGACGGGACTC